ATTGGGCTGGGCCAGTGGCCCTGCCCTGGCCGCCGCGGGCCGCACCCTCCTCTCATTCTGGACGCATCTGCTCTGAGGTGGCTCAGGGTGAGTGGGCAAGAGGCCTGAGCAGGTCCAGGACATCCGGCAGAGATTCCTTTTGGCTTTATTTTCTTTGCAGGAAAAGCAGCTTAATGAACATGTTCTTCCAGATATTTGAAAATGTACTCCCAGGCTGTTAACCACTAATAGTCGTGAGGGGATGTCTGGGCCCCCGAGAGTAGGCCGGACGAAGACTGTGGGTCATCTTGTGAGTCTCTCTTGCTGGCTCGCTCACCCTGGGGAGCCAGGGACAAAGGCCAGCCAACTTGGATCCCCTCCCTCATCGAGCCCTGAAATGACTCTTGACCTTTAGCGAGTGGCACCAGACTTAGCCGCAGCTGCAGAAACTTGAGATAAGGATGGGTTTTAAGCTGAAGTGTTTCGGGATCGTTTGCCAGGCAGCAATAGAGACAACTCTGTCCCGTTGAACTGCTACCTGGATGTTTCAGAAATGCCTCCACGCCTTCATGTTCAAAACCAAACTCACCCTACCGCTCCCCTGGGGCCGACAGGGGTGGGTCTTGCTGCCCTTGGCTGCTGTAAGGGCATAAACCCTCACCAAGTGGGGAGCCCATGCGTCCTCCATACCAAACGCGCATCTTCCCTGGGCCTGGTTCAGAGGAGAGCTACCCCTGCAGCCGCTTGAGCCATGACCCCAGCACACCTCTTCTCACACCTCACCTGGCTGTGCTGGCCCCGTTTGCTGCCCCAGAGACCTTTCACATCTGCCTGCTTCTTTGCCTGCTGTGGTCAGCCAACACCCACAGCTCTGGCCAGGACCAGTGCAGCGGCCTAACTGGCCTGTGGTCGTCCAGGCTTTTCCCCTCAGAGTAAGCGTCTGGGGCGAACACAGAGCCACGCAAAGCAGAGGTGAAGGGCTGACTGGTCCACGCGGTGAGAGCCGCCCTGCAGCCATCTCCAGGGAGACCCAGACGCACACCTGGCCGCGCCTCTGCCCCCGCCCGGTCGCCTGCGCCCCCTGGTGGACGCCGTCCTGACCTCCCAGCCAGCCTCGTCCCGCCGGCTCTGACCTAAGAGACGCCGCCCAGGTGGGGTCCTTCACCTGGCCTCGCTCACGCACAGGGCCGAGCCCGGCGGCTTCTCCCCCAGCTGCCTTCCCCTTTGCCTCGAGTGCTGTCCACTGCTGACAGCGATGGCCTCAGCGTGGGCTACGGCACCAGTCAGTTCTTGCGTGTGTGGGAGACACCACGTGAGCTACCACTGGGTTTGTGGACCCCTGCGAGAGTCCACAGGCGTCCCCGCCTTCCCTCCCACCACCTCCGCCAGGCGCGGGTGGGGTGGGGGTGGTCACCAGCGGAGGGGAGGGGGCACCCCTTCGAGGGGGCCGGGCCACTGGCAGACCCGCCTCGTGTTACAAAGCATTCTTGTTAAAAGGATGAGAAACGGTGAAAACAAACGGGAGCTCCACGTTTTTTCACACTCAGTGGAATAAAAAAGAACCTGAGTCGGGTTCTATGAATGTCCCCCCGCCCCCCGGAGGAGGGCCGCGGCGGGGCGGGCGGGGTCCCCACGCGGAGGACCTGAACTACCCGAGGGGTAGGGTCCGAGCAGGAGGCGGGCGCCGAGAGCGCCGAGAGAGGGGGAAGGGAGGAGGAGGGAGGGGAGGGGAGTCGGAAAACCGGAAGTCGGCGTGGGGCAGCCGGACGGGAAACGCGGGGACACCGGGCGACTCCAGGGCG